AGGTTGCCTGGCTTTGCAGGATATGCCATCTGCTATGACTACTGATACAACCTCAGAGGTATAGTCACCCTGGAAACCATTACTTCCATTTTTATCTAGAATTTGGAGCTAGCCTTGTATAGCCAGAGTGGTTGAAACCACCTACCTTTGGGGGTGTGCAAAAGTCCAGCAAGTGAGATTTTGACCTCAGAGGCTCCAAACTCCACCCCAAAAGACTTCTCTAATCCCTTATTTTCTGAACACATACCTTATGAAGTCATAAAGCCTGCCTTTATACACATGCACAGCCCCTATTACTTGCCTTTTCCTTGCCTTCAGACTGTTGTGCCCTAATTCTAAACCCCAAAATCACCAAGAGACCCATTTCGATGCAAAAGCAAAGAGTCTTTTAATTGCAGTTGTTTAACGAGGTAACCCCATTGGCTCGGGCCTTTCACGTATCCACCATGGCACATGGTTGGAGAAAAGGCCCCAAGAAACCATGAGACAGGGATCTTACAGGGCAGCGTCTAGGGGTACGCACAGGCTCAGGATTGGTGTGCCTCCAGGCTTGGAGGACCTGCCCTGTGTTGATTGGTCAACTGGTTGTTATGGCCCATAGGACTTCACAGGTTGGTGGTTGCTATGCTCTGCACATCACTGTTGTGTGCTTGTCTGTAAAGCACACCCAGAACCATAAAGCATAGCCCTGCTAGCTAACTTCTAATTGATTCCTTGCCACAAAGAGGGCATCTGACCTCCTAGTGAGCAGGGCAGGCCCAGCAAGGTCAGGCAAGCATGTGTTATCCTGTCATGGTTGCCAAAATGGGGGGGGGGGATTGGTCCCTTCACAGACCACCATACTTTGTGTTTGTCACTGGAGGCTGAGCCTAGGCCTCATGCATGCTAAGCAAGCACTCTACCACTTCACCCTCCACCACTAACAATCAACATATACTACAAAGATACTGGATTTCAATGCATTATGTGATTTTCATACATACAAGAAAAACATACTTTGACCAAACTCTGCCCTCATCACCTTTCCTTGAGAGAAAACATGTAGGATCTGTCTGAGTCTGGTTTATTTTACTTAAGGCAAATGATCAGTTCTTGGCTTATTTACATGGGTTCTGGGGATTGAACTGGGGTCAAGTTTGCAAGGCACTCTACCAACTGAAGCATCTTCCCAGTAACCCATTTTAACCTTTTTAAAATTATGCTTTAACCTTGAAAATCTCTCTCTCTCTCTCTCTCACACACACACACACACAGAGAGGTTAAGGTGTCAGCTTGCCTGAAAATGATTTTGCTATCCGTCCTTCTGAAATTGAACATGCTCATAAATGGGCCCAACTTCACATGACTATATGCAGGCTCCCAGAAGAGAAGTACCACTTCCTGTTAGAAAGCACTAAATTGGACAGATATCTTGCCCGACTTTCACATCTTGGCTGCATATGTCTGGTTTTGTCCTCGCCAAGATGCAGTCCAGTGTACTCAGTGACAGTCTAACACTAACATCATCATTTAGTGCTGCTGGGGTGGCAGCCACAGCCTTTTACTTGTGTACTAGGGTTTTGCCTGCATGTGTGTCTGTGCTCCACATGAGTGCTTGGTAGGCCAGAAAAGATGCTGGATCTGTAAGTGCTGGGAATCTAAACCCAGGTCCTCTGGAAGAACAGACAAGTGTTCTTAATGGCTGAGCCATCTCTTTAGCCCCTGCTGGGGCTTCTTATGGATTACTTCCCTTCGAGTTCACAGCTCCTTCAATGAGACAGATACCTATACTCTCACCTGAGATAGCACCAATATCCCAAGAGCATCTCACCAAGTAGGGGTCAGACCCTTCATACCCTGACACTCATTTTGTACTTAGAACTGGAAAGGGACAAATTCCACACGGCTCACTGAAGTCAGGGAGAGAAGCAGTGATAGGACCAAAGGAAATCTAGATGGTATGAACACTGAGTTCCTCATGGGATCCTAATCTGAAGAAGCCATCACACAGGCACAGGGAACACCTTGAGGACAAGTAAATGTTAGACCACAATGTGAAAGCAGCAAGGGTAAAATCTAGGGCCAGCAATTCCACACACAGTCATGGAGGCCAATATCTTCTGCTGCCTTCTAGAAATGCCCTACCACCCACTCCCTTTATGTCCTGTAGCTCAAGTTTCTAAAAAAAAAAAAAAAAAAAAAAAAAAAAAAACGTACTGAAAGGGGTTGGAGAGATGGCTCGGTGGTAGAGTACTTGCCTAGCATGTGTAGGGCTTGGGTTTCATGCCCAACATGGGGTGGAGGTACTTAGAACAGCATTTGGTGGGTAGAGACAGTTGTCTCCTGCTCTTACCAATCCTACTCTTTTGGGCTTTATAAATGAGTCTCTCCTTTGGGCAGCCAGCAGCAAGGAAAGCTGACCCTTCCAAGCCAGAGAGCAGCTTCTAGGGGGTAAGAGACAGCTGAGAAGGCAATGAAATTAGAGACCAGCGCTGTGAGTACATTACAGAAGTAAAGCTGCAGGCCAGGGAGTCTTTCATTAACTCGATTGAAAGAGGGAAGAAGCTAAGGAAAAGGTTGTTATATACCTGGGATAGAGGGGTGGCGACGGGAGTCCCTCCAAAACCTAGAGGTCCCTAACTGTCTGGTTAGATCCCGTTCCTTCACTGTTGGGACCCCAAGGGAGTTCCAGATGCACCTGGGATCTTGGGCACCTGGCCTAGTCTCCACACATCATCTTTCTCAGCTGTAAAATGGAGCTGACAAATCCCAACACATAACAGATGACACTGAAGGAGCCAAGTGGTCCCAGCCCTGGCCTTGCCTCACAAGTGCATGCATATCAACCCACCTGACATACTGGTACCTGTCTGTAATCCCAGGATTTGGGAGAGGAGCTGAAAACCTGTGTGGGCTACAAAGTGAAACTGTCTCAAAAACACCAAATTATAAGCAACAAATAACCAATACCTAGGCCTCTACCACTGACTGAAATCTAGATCTTGAAGGGTGGGAGTGGAGGCCCTGATGCATGAGGGGTCTTAGGAACCTGAGATTGGCTAAAATGGAGCATGGGTAGGGCTAACAGAAAGGAGAGGATTGAGGATTTTCCAATTACATTTGCTAAGAAGCCACTGAGCACCAGGTGCACAAAACCGGCACTGTTTCATTATGACAAGACCATGTGGATGGAGGCCACACAGGGCTGAGTGGAAAGGTTTGTCCTTATCACTCACTGTTGGGGGCTTCAGTTAGGAAAATATGAACATCACAGGATTTAAGTGTGCCTGGATTGGGCGCTGAGAATCTATCTCAATGGTTGGGCACAGATTCAACAAGCATGAGGTCCTAGGTTCTAATCCCTAGTACATGTGAACATACATATGTATGCCTGCTCATGAAATGTGCACATGCCCCCAAATTAAAACATAAATTAAAAGTGAAATTTAAACTTTTGCTCAACTGCACTAGCTACATTTCAAGTCTTCAGTACAGAATTGCCACTCAAATAAAAAAAAAACTACATATATAGAAGTAAAAATTTAAATCTCAGATAAAAGTCAAACATTACATGGGTTATTACACTAAAGAAATACTTGGGTCGAGCAGTGGTAGTGGTGGTGCATGCTTTTGATCCCAGCACTAGGGAGGCAGAGGCAGAGGAATCTATGTGAGTTTGAGGCCAGACTGATCTACAGAGTTCAGCCAAGATTATACAGAGAAACTTTTGGGAAAACAAAACAAAAAACCTCTATCGCCAGAAATGTGAACCTGCCAGGGTGTTCTGGATTTTACTAAACCCCAGCATTCCCTCTCATAAGGGATTCTGCTATGGAGATCTCATCACTCACTTACCCAGGACGCACTGAAGTCTGGACTCCACAGTAAACAGGCCTTACCCACATGTGACCAGCTCCTCAGTGGGTTCTAAGAGGAAATAACCCCAAACAAGGTTTTCTCTTCTCTGTTCTTGGAGTTGCCCCCCAGCATCTCTTCAAGGCTTGCATTCTTGTCCCCAGAACAGAGCCAGATTCTAAGAAATGAGGTCTGGAAGATTACTTAGATCAAGGCCAGCCATAGGTTGGCCGAAGTAAGACTACAGCCAAGTTGTTGGTAATGGAGAAGTTGGTTTGAACCCACTTCTCTTTCTAGCTCACTCCAACAGGACCCTTCCAAGTACAAGTACCCTCAGCAGCTCCATTTCTCCTGAAAGGAATCACAAAGCCTTGCAAACACCATGCAGACTTGGGACAAAGTCCTTCTGGCTTTCATTGCAAGCTTGCAGTCTTCTCCAGTGGTCAAGAACAGGCCAAAACCCACTTCACCAGACCATGTGGTCCCTTCATCAGCCCGTGTGCATTCTCATTGGTTCCGCCGTTTCTATGGTGGAGACATTCTATTCTCGACAGATCTTCTGCCCAGTCGCCCACCTCCCACTACAGATCTTGATAATATCTACAAATCCAAGGAGCCTAGAGGCCCTGTGGTAGATTTTCTGTAAAAACTCTACTCCATATATAACATGAATTATTTTATTATATACTTTATATAAAAACATCCAAAGCACAAACACACATGCCCCACCATCAGGGAGTGTCAGAACCCTAGATTTTCCTTTCCCCTCAAGCAATTATATCCCAGTCACAAAAATGGAACTGTAAAGGGTGCATAAAGACAAATGAGATCTTGCTTTTTACTGTACAAGCATCTGAAGTTATCTTGACAAGAGGGAGTAAAATCCACCTAACAGTGTCTGCCACCTGCCCACAAGCAGTTACCATTTGTTGTAATTGGCACCTGACATGTTTGGAGGGGCACAGGAAATGTTGAGACAGACATGGCCAGGCTATTGCTTTCTCTTTTCCAGAAGGCACACATCTCCATACCATTTATTAGTAATTCCTGACAGTCTATAGGAGAATCTGTTAGATTCTACCTACTTTGAGGTATTAAATGCTTAAGAAAAAGGATTAGTTTATGTCCAAGTAACATGCAATGAAAATATTTTTAAACCAACATGGTTAAATGTTAAGATTTTTAGAAATCAAAATATTTATTCACATGATTTTTAAACTAGTCAAAGCTATTTCTTTTGCAATAGTGATTTATGTGCAAGTGATGCTGGCTTTCACATTGGTATTCTTCAGAGTAAAGACACATCAGTTGTTCTTGAATAAGTCAATGCAGCTCTGCAAGAGGGAGACATTGTTCTAGGGGGGAAAAAAAGGTACATGTGTATAAATGAATGAAATAAACACATGGTTTTCCCTCCTGAATTCTGAAGCAGCCACCGGGCTGACTCCTTCCCCCAGCACCATCCACCACATCCCATCTACCCACCCCTACCTTCCAACATTCTCACACCCCAACCACAAACTTGTTCTAACACTGAAAGAAAGGCCTGGACAGGTTGCCCGAGACTAACCACAGTGCACTGAAAAGCCCAGTAAGGAGACCCTTCCATAGATTGTTGCAGTTAGCGGGACCAAATCGATGCCCATTATTGCTAGGGCAGTGATCTACCACTGAGCCCAACCTAAACCTAATTGGGGACAATGAATTTTTAGTTTTTACTTTTAGAGCAAACACCTAAGAGGCCTAAGAGTAGGTGAACCTCTGAGTTTCACAACAGCTGCCAAGGCTATTGAGCAAGTTTCAAGCCATAGCTATATAGTTCAGATGTCTTAAAACGCAAAGAAACTAAAGATACTAAAATGCCCTTTTGGTATGTGTGACTGCATAGCAGTATCTCACTATGTAATAAAAGTTGCCCTTAAATTCTCTTGCTGCAGGCTGGAGAGATGGCTCAGAGGTTAAGAGCACCAGCTCCTCTTCCAGAGGTCCTGAATTCAATTCCCAGCAACCACATGGTGGCTCACAACCATCCATTATGAGATCTGGTGCCCTCTTCTGGTGTGCAGATATACATGGAAGCAGAATGTTGTATACATAACAAATAAAATCTTTTAAAAAAATTCTCTTGCTGCTGAAGAGATACTAAGGTTTGGACTAACACATGTGGTTCTAAAGGGCTTACCAATAAAAACCACAGCAACATTGACCCCGATAAACATTGGGACAACCAACTGGCAAGCAAACAAGTCCCTTAAACGTCTGGTTAATTAATATAGGAACTCACTCTGGCATGCTTTATTTCCAGTTCAGACATTTCAATTAGGTTCTTTCTAAATGCTGCCACTCTCTTCCGCTTGAAGTTTACCAGTTCTGTGGGAATAAAGAGTTAAAATTTATCAAACTATAAAAAAGACTAATTTCCCACTCATTAGAGCTCCCACATAACCCCTTTCACAAATGACCTCCAGCACCTTCTTCTTTTGCTTTTCAAGACAGGGTTTTCCTGTGGCTTTGGAGGCTGTCTTGGAACTTGCTTTGTAGACCAGGGTGGTCTAGAACTCAGAGATCCACCTGCCTCTACCTCCCGAGTGCTGGGATTAAAGGAGTGTGCCACCACGGCCTGGTTTTTTTTTTTTTTTTCTTAATTTTTTTTTCAGCACCTTCTTACAAAGCCAATCAGGATACACTACATATACTGCCTGTATATGGGTCATTACTTCATCACTAAGCATGCCTCGGCTATCCAAATTTGGGATAATCCTTCCCCCTCCTCCTGCATATATTATACTTGGTAGGAATCCAGACACGGATCACCTTACTTATGAAAACTTATGTTTACCTTACTTATGAAAACTTAAGGGATAAGGATGAATAAGTCCACTGTCCTATCATAATTCTATTTATGCATCTGAGGACATACATTCTAGTATTTACACAAGCTTTGTTTCATGTCCACCAAGGCAGGATACATGAGTCTCCCAGGAAAAGACCATACCTTGTATCCAAGCCTTTCTCAAGACATTGCCAATGAGCTCCAGGCAAATACACAGCAACTGCTCTTAACTACTGAGCCAAACCTTCAGCCCCTACAACCTAACAGGAACAGTTGAGTTTTCTTTTGTATTAAAATTCATCTTTCTTGGGGGAGGGGGGGAATAAATAAATTAATTCATCCTTCTTGTGTTACTGGGGACAAGTCCATAGTCCCACAAGAACTGCACACCAGCCCTGGGGGAAGGGGAGTTACTTCTCCATGATATATATTATTTGTTTCCAAATATAAAAGAAATGCCCAACCTTCTTTAGCAGATTCAGAAAGCTGCTCAAACTTCTGGCAGCATTCCTGCTGGTGAGTCTCAGCCAACTTGACATCTTTGCTTTTTAACCGGGCCTTGTCCAAAGCTTTGTTTGAATTCTCATAGTCAATTAGGGCTTTTGTGCGTCTGTAAAGGAGATCCTAGGAAGAAAATTAACAGCCATGCCGTAATCTCCAGAGAACAAAAGTATCACTTACTGAAAATGAATGTCTAGACATGCAAACCAAGTCTAAAACATACCCACAGTGGCAACACTTTGAAATGGCAAAAAGCAAGACTGCAGCCCATTTCTCTAGCATTAAGACTGACTTTTTTTGTGGTGATGTGTGTCTATCTGCATACTTGACTTGGAGGCACCAGATCCTTAGAGAAATCACCTGACATGGGTTGGTTGTTGAGCCACCCTCTCTAGCTCTTTATTCGGCATAATCTTCACAAGGGACTGGAGACGTAGCTTAATGGTATAGTACTTGCCTAGCATGCTCTAGATTTGATAATCCTCAGTAGAACCAGAAGGGAAGGGGTGGTGTTGACAAAACAAACCCCACCTATAAAATGAGGGCCCAATCCAACAGTTTTGAAGATGTTCATAATCCTTATACAGAAGAAAATCCCTGATGAAAACCTCCTTCAAGTTCAAACAATAACTGAAGTTATACCAGAAAATTAAGCACAGCATACCAAACAAGCTTATTTGCTGCTAAGTAAAGCACTGAGCCACGACCTGGGGGAACATCTTGCCCCTCAAATCCCAGTTCTGGAAATCAGCACCAGGGACCCACATAACTTGAAATAAAAGCATGTGTCTAATATCCATGAAACCAGACCAGTAAGAGGCCTGTTTAAAAGAGGGTAAAATAAAGAGCTAAAATGCATGGCACCAAAGGAAAAAAATCCACAAGTTTATTCTCAGGATTTCTTCACAAACACAAAAAGGATATCTCAAACAAGTGTACCCCAGTATAAAACATCATCCCTTCCTAGCCTGAAGGGACTACCTTAAGCATTAAATTTCTGTTGGGCAAGGTAAACTAGGGCTACTAATGGATTAAATAATCCCTGCCTTACCTTTGCAGCCTCTATGTTGAGCATGTAGTATCGGAGGAGCTCTGTGAGTTTTAAATCTTCATCTGATGAGACTCGACCTTCCACTTTCTAGTTTAAACAAGTAAAGGTCACTAGTCACCACCTAGGCAGAAATCTAGAAACCTTAACTAAATATTACCAAGATTAACACAAAACTTCTTACCCTCAGTTTTTCAAATAGCTCTGCAACCTTCAATAGGTACCTGGAAGTATACAGAAGATCACAGTTCTCTATGAAAGTTATCAATAAATATTAAGACCACCACAGTAAAGAATCATACATAAGGTTAGCTAAGTGGTGGTGGTGCACACCTTTATACATTTGAGGCAGACAGAACTGTTGCACTGTTTGAGAGCCAGCCTGGTCTAGTGCTGAGTTCCAAGACAGTCAGGGATAAAGAGACAATGTCCCAAGCTCAAGGAGAGAGAACAAAGTCAATTTATCAAAGTAGCTCTTTATTCCAAACAAAGAGAATGATTGTAAAACTGAGTATAACAATGACTTAGTTATCAGTCTCAATCCCCTTTAGTCATCCTGTCTTGAGATGATCCAAATACGTTACCAAGATGAGTGTATTGAGTCACCATCAGAGGTGCCAAAAGATAATAAATGCACTTCAAGTGAGAGGAAATATCTATTCTAAAAATCAGGTATGTAAGGAAAAACACTATCTCATACCCAAAAAGCTCAGGACAGATAAAAGTCCAAGTGACCAGGGTTATTATTCTCATAATTAAGTCTGCTGAAGAAGTCCAGGACAAAACCCAACAAAAAGGTCAAAAAGTAACACCTACAATAAACAAGGGAGGGCATTTAAGACACAGATGCTAAACAGGACAGAACTAAAAAACCAGCATAAATACTTGAGCTTTTATATGTCAAGACAAGGTCTCATATATCTAGGACTTGCCTCAAGATCACTAACCAAGGGGCACTTTGAATATCTGATGCCCCTGCCTCCTGATAGAAGTATAGGCATGTGCCACCAACCAGGGCTTTCTTTGTGAATGCTAGCCAGCCCTGGTGCCCTTTTCATTGTACTTCACTGTAACATTTAATGAGAAGATTGGGTTAGAGTTAAGGTCTATGGATTAAATAATGGCCTTAAATAAGCTAGGGAAGCACTTTGAACTACAACTCCAGTCACCCAAACTTACTTTTTAATGACTGTGGGTTCTTCTAAAGCCAGGCTATGCAAGCAGGCTGCAGTGTGGATGTAGTCATCAGCAACACCTAAAGAAACAAGCACAGATCTTGATATCTGAGAACACATTACACAGCAGAGCTGTAAGTGTCCAAATAGACAAAGATATTTACTTTTGTGAGATCTGGTCATTTTGTCAGCTTTAGCACAGGAATCCTTGATCCTGTTGTAATAGTTAATAAGGAAGTTCTTTTCTTGTTCAAAAAAGTCATCCACCTCCTAAAAAGGAGGAAAATGGAATTTAAGCAAAAATGTCAAGAACAGTATATATTATAGCAGAGAAAATGAGCAATTCAGCACATTCATGGCTGAGACACACCACTGAATCAGTCTAGTTGGGGCTGCAGTGAGAACCCGCCCACAAACCAAACAAAATGGCTACTAATAATCACAAGGTTACTCTGTATATACCACACTGTCATGTGACTTACATATTTATAATTCCCAGGGACTGGTAAAAATAATCAAGTACTAACAGGATACATTACATTAGGAGAATCACTTTGAAGAGCACCCTGAATGGCCAGTAAATGCTGATATCCTCCACAACCCAGTAATCCTTGTGTAGTTGTCAGGCGGGATCCTGCCACTTAGCCTTGAATACCACTTGTATTTGTGTGGGTTTGTGTCCAGTCTTTGTTTTATTTTGAATATAGCTGATTTCAGACTGACAATTTGGGTATGCCTGCTACCCTTGCCAGGAATGTCAACAGACCCTCACTGCATACAAACGTAACCCACACCATATTGCCTAAGAAACTCAATTTCCAATCTTCCCTTTTTCTCAGCACCTATGTTCTATGCTCCCTTACCAAGTCCTGGAGAAGCAAGCCAGACATCAGGTAACTGTTAAAATAATAATTTACAATGAACAGGAAGGCACTAAGTGTGAAGAAATAAGGTACTCATAAATAAGAATGGAACTTTTGTCATTATCTTTGCTAGCATGTCTGCCCATTCCTCAAACAAAAAGCTAAGCAGACAATGTTAACTTAAATCTTGACAAAAATCTAAAAATAGTAATTTCAATATATAGCAACATTAGCAAACACTTTCATCAGTATGACTTAAAAATCTAGTTCCCACATGTCTGGTGGCAAATAGCTTTGATACCATGTTCTGCTATAGCTTATTTTCTTTTGACAACTGAGTAACCTACATCCTTCCCCAAAGATTCAAGGATAGAAAAGTTCATGTTCTAGAAAACAGTATTCTGAGGAAGTAAATGAAATTTAAGTTCCGGGGCATGGTGACCCACACTCAGGGGGCACAGAGGCAAGCAGGCCAGTCCCTGGGTTTGAGGCCAGGCTGGTTCAGGGCAACCAGGTTACACAGAGAAACCCAGTCTTAAAAAAAAAACAAAAAAGTAAAAAAAAAAAAATACTAAAATGTTTAACGCCTGTTTTTTTTTATAAATACTCCCCTTTTCCAAAGAAAATCCATACATTCCCATGAAACCACGAATTTTCTGAAACAGCCCAAGCTTCTTACCTTCACTCCAGAAAAAAGGACTTCATCAGCACTCTTCACCACACTCTTAAAAAAGCCACCAAACATCTCTTTGGTATTTTTCCGCCTAACACTTAGCTAAAAAGGAAGGAAATTCCAAAACAGCTTATGATATGGCAAGTTTCTGTTAGCATCTCTTAGTAATCACACAAGTAACATGTTTTAGTATCATAGACACACCCAAGGCACTTTAATCCTTCCTCAAACCACTAAATCTAAAATATTAAATGGCTGATAATACAGATTATCATACTCTTAAAAAGCTAACCAGACATTTCTCAATTATGGAGGCACCAAGTCCTAGAGGCTTTTCTTTTCAATTCTTGGTAGAACTGCTGGTAGTTTATTGATACTAGACCTCAATAATTTAAAAATATTTCCACCTTTCAAGACAATGCCTCACTATGCAGTTCCAGCCCTTCTATATAGACTCACTGGTTTCCAACTCACAGAAATCTGCTGGGATTAAAGGCTGTACAAACCAGGACGAGCTTAATATGAGTGAAGAAACATGCTTAAAGAAATAAAATAAAGGTACACCAATTCCAATTCTTCCAATATTAAATAGAATATGGGGGGGGGGTGTTTTCTTTCAGTAGCTTTTAAAAGTGACCTTTAAATGGATTTAAGCAGGAAGGGAAAGCATTGCTTCTCCACCTTTTTCTCTGTATTGATAAATTCAAACTCAAGAAGCTCATTTTAGAAGTATTTCAACTATGAAAATGGAAAAATTGCCTTACATCCTGATCATATTCCAGGAAAACATGAAAGTTTCGGTCTTTACTGAGAACAGGGTGAGAAGAAAGCCGCTGAAGAAAGACTTCATGGGAAGACACAGTCTTCTTAAAGACAGCGAGATACTCACTGAAAAAACATGTGCACAAAGCATTCAGTTGGCTCAATTCCTGCCCAATACAGCTCGATCCTTACTTAACTCCACTCTTCTGTTCATGATCAATCACTAAGGCAAACAATGCAACTAGACTCGAAGCAAACACTATGATTCAACTGATAGCTAGTTAAATAATAAGGCAGTTGCCATTGTGGAACAAAGATAAAAAGTGCTGCTAGTAGTCACTGAATTTGCTGAATCCAGTCTAAGACCCCAAGCTTACATGCAATAAAGGAACCTCTCTTTCATTCTATAGGAATATGAGCACCAATGTTAGTACAGGCCTGATAAAAGTTGCTGATGATTGAAGGGAAGAGTGCTTGTGAACCAAGATAAGGAAATCTAATGGGCAACCCCCGCCCAGGGAAAAAAGCACAAGGCACTTCTCTCCTAACCAACTGGTTTGTGTACAAACTATATGAAGCCTCCTCTTTCAAGGTATCTATGTGGCCTGAAGAATACTGCAACAGCCTTTGCTACAACCTAGCAAAGTTTCAGGAACACATCATGTAACATGCCACATTATCTACAAAACGTAGTTTTAGAAAATGGCACTAGGCAATAAATGGTTCTATTTTTAACATCAGGTCTTTCATTCTGCTGGAGTGCAATTTTTTTTTTTTACAAGACAGAGCAAGAAAATTCACTTACGCTTCCAGTTCTTGCTTCATCTTAGCAAACTCTTCTTTTGTCATAGATCCTTCACCTTCTCCCAGTTTCTGCATCTTCTCTCGAGGGCCATCGAAGTCTGGCTTTGTAGGAGCAGGAGGGATCTGTAGCAGAGGCAGGTAACCTTATTCCAATGGCCATATATATGGTAGCTGTCACTTCAACAGTTCTGCCAATATACATGGCTACCCCAATGGAGCTAAAAACCAAAACTCCTCACAGTAGCACACTCACAGCTTCACTGTCAGCTTAAAACAGGCACAATTAGTGCTAATGATGACCAATTATTCAGAAATAGGCTTCCATATATCCATAGGAATTTTCCACCCCATTTCCAAAGAGTCTCCTTCTGATGCTGGAGATTTAACTCAGTAGTAAAGTGTTCCTACCTAATTCTCCATATCACAAAACTAAGTTTAATTATTTCTTAATTAGCAGAACATTCCTGAGCAAACAAATTATCAATATAAGAAATTACAGACAGCTATGCTGTACAGCACGTGGGAGCAAATAGGACTCACTCAAAGAATTCCAGGTTTTCTTGGGCTATGAGATCCTGTGTCAAATAACCAGAGAGAAATCACTACTGGGCAGATTCATTCTGCCCAGCAGACAGGATGCACATTTCAATTCATTTAAAAATGAGCCAAGAGCTCTGCCAACTGTCTCCAGTACCAGTAAGGAATTTCACTGGATGTTAATACTGATATTTCCTATAAATCAATTCTACTGGTAGTGCCTGGGGTGGTTGTGGAGGGAAGATACAGAGGGCCAGAGAAATGGCTCAGTTGTTAATTAAGTTCACTTCACAGCATCCATGTGCTTGCTTACACCTGTGAACTCCAGTTGCTGACCTATGGACATCCACACTCATATTCACACAGACACATAGACACACAACTTAAATCGTTAAAACACATAAGAGAAAAAAACAAAAATAAAGTTAGGTAAGACTTTGTCTTATGCATAAGCACAGACCTCTTATCTCACTATCCTGTACACACACATTTTAAATGTTGCCAATGACAGTTTATGAACAAAAACAGGCAGAAGAAATGAGATTTTACAAACCACTGTAAAATACATAGTCTCTAAATAAAAAGCAAGGTACGAGGAAATAGCTTAATTATCTGATTTTTCTCTGAAATGAACTCACAATAAGCCCGGCATAATCTGTTGTTTCTGTAAGAGTGTCATGCAGCCACACAAAGTCTTCATGCTGCCTTGTAACAGAAAATTCTGGGCTCTGGAATGTGGGCAGTGTGGTCTGTAAGGAGAGAAAATAAGTGGTGACCCAATATCTGATAAACAAATGGCTTTAGATTTCCTAGGCTACACTATGGGACCATCACAATCAATACCACAAACCTAGGTAGCTTAAACAATCTCATTTCTAGGAAATTCTTTTTAAGACCTTTTGAAACTTGTTGTGTATGAAACAGCAAAGATTAGTAAAAGTTAAGTTCTAGGAAGTTAACAGCTTTTACACTGAACGTTCCCCCAGTCATAAAAATAGAACAGCGGGCTGGAGAGATGGCCCAGAGTTTAAGAGCACTGGCTGCCCTTCCAGAGGTCCTGAGTTCAATTCTTAGCAACCACATGGCAGCTCACAACCATCTGTAATTCGACCTGGTGCCCTCTTCTGGCCTGGGCAGAACATATAATTAAAAAAGAACAGCAAGAGTATCAATGTTAAAATGGCTTCCTTTTCATGTCAGTGATTTAATGCATATGCAAATGAAAACCAAAAGGGAGAGAGTTAAAGCTGTGGAAGTAGCTGTGGCTACATATTTGCTTTTTAAGGGCTCCACCCCAGCAGAAAGGAAGGAACTAACAGCACATGACATGGAGCCCTTAACAGGCAAGACAGAAGCTGAAGTTCTTGCCACACTGTTCCTAAAAACAATAACCATTTCAGCTCAAGAAGTCTCTTTCCACACTCCTCTGAAAATGCAATCTAGTTAATACTAGTAGTTATTACCAAGGTTACTGTCACTTACCTTGGTGTGTACTGTAAACTTGACCTTATCTCTTTCACTGAGTGCATCGGGTATGTCGATCTGAAGCGAAGGGTCAACATTCAGGTCCACAGACACAGATCTCAGCTGAAATACATTTGAATTATTAGTCACATGTTTAGCTCAGAGAGTATTTCCCACTGGAGAGGGAGAGCTAGCAAGCGTTCTTTATTTAATGTGACCCACAGGCCAGACCATCCAAAGATCTAAAAGGTCTATTTGAGCAGGACATGGTGGTGCATGCCTTTTTATCCCAGCACTCACAGATTTGTGAGTTCAAGGCCTGTCTGGTCTATATAGTTTATGTTCCAGGACAGCCAGAGCTACATGGTTGGTGAGACCCTGTCCCCACTCTCTATTACCCAGTAAAAAAGCTCTTCATACTACCTCAGAATGGCAGTCTTGAGATGTCCCTCTCAGGTGTGAGGATCCTGGGCAGAAAGGTAACTAGGTCTCTCTATTTAAATCTGGGAATTGAACCTCCAGTACCACCAAAACAAATGACCCTAATAAAACAAACTCTTTTCAAAATAGATTGATTAAAATCTAGTTGTTTCTCTTCTTTGCATCTCAGAACCTGAGTTTGGCAGGCCCCACTCCCAAGATCAGCTAGCCAGGCAACACAAACTAGACTTGATGCAGGGAGAAAAAACACCTCAAAGTTGGGTTTAGTTATGGTAAGGGAGGTGGTTATAGAAGGAGCCGGTGTGTATGAATGTTCAAAATATACCATATGATAATAGTTTTAAAGGCATTTTCCAAAAGCCAGGTATTTAGAAATACATTTAACTACCCAACAGTGATGGAACATGTCTTTAATCCCAGCACTCAGGGTCTCAACAGCAGGTAGGTCTCTGTTGAATTCAAGGCACCCTGGCCTACAGTGAGTTCTAGGACAGCCAGGGCTACAACAGAGAAACCTGCCTTGATAAAAAACAAAACCTTATACAAATGCTACCATACTACCAAACCTAAACAGTCCTCACATTTTAGCATAAGCACTTTTGTTTTCCCAAGTGCACGCTGTTCAGTTTCCTACATGCCCACAAGATCCCTGAAGACAGTCGGTAGCTAAGCAACATGCATACAAATGTTAAGTTTACTTATAGAACAAGTTTTCTTCTATAACCAGAATATGTCAAGAGACTGGATACATTTGAAAGCCTGAAGGCCAAGGGATTCTTAAAATCACAATTTTGCTTAGTTCTGACATTCCTGATAAAGCAACCTTCCTTCTATAAATTACTATAGGGTAGACACAGCCCCCAAAAATTAACATATAAACTGCAAAGACAAACTGTCATCCCATCTTTCTTGACTGTTATGGTCAATTGGGCTCCTGGACTTCCCCTGTTCCTGTTAATATGTTCGGGCAAGTCATGTTGGTGAGGCTTCATAGGTGTAGCTTCTAACATTCCAAGGAAACACAATCCCAGAGTAAACTCATTGTTGCCCAGGCTCTTATTAGAATCTTCTTGTCCTCTCTTCTGCAATGATCCCTGAGCCTTACAGATATAGCACTTGGGACTGGCCTCCATAACTCTACATTTTGATTGGCTGTGATTGTCCTATAATGGCTTGTCTATTGCAAAAATTAGTTTCCTTAATGAGGGGTGAGAGCTACCCACACATACCTGTGGTTACAAGGACAAATATTCAGAATATAATTAGGAATTACGCTGGTTTAGTAGTTTAACTGTCACTTGCAGGCATTCCTCCAAATTCATTACTTCACCTGCCCTGGTTAGGGTGCTAGGTTTCCAGTATCAGGTAACTGATATTAGGATCCCTCTTGAGGGGGATCCTAAATTTAAACTACAGAGCTGTTGGTGAGATAAGCAAACCAATATATGCACTCTTAGGATCATGGTTGCTTGTAGTTCATAGGTGCCACAGCTAGGTAGGAATGTTGATTGTTTCCCTCCTTTGGAAACTTGCACAACACCTGCCACTACCATGAAAGTTAGGCCTCAAAGAGGTCTTTCTTATCAGGTCATTTCCAGCTCATGGGGCCTCTGATCCTGTGTCTGAAGTACATGGTGTCTTCAGCAGTATGGACTTACCTTCCATCCCTGGAACAACCAAGGGCAACACCAATAGCCGGTATTTTGGGAGTCTCTTTGATAACGCTGACTAACCTCTCAAAGATGGTAAGCATGCTTCAGAAAACAAGCTTCTCATGCCTGGTGCTGCATGGAGACTCTTGGGGGGTATAACCAGACCAGACCCCATGAATGTTCTAAAGAAGTTAATTTTAGTGTGTGTCTGTCCATCCTCTTGTTGCTAAGGCCAGATCAGATCCCCTGGAGCTAGTGTCACAGTCATGAGCTGTTGACACGGATGCTGGAAACTTAACTGCTAGACTCTGAAAGTAAGCCCTATTCCGAGCTGAGTTAGCCCCTTCCCTGAATCTTGAAGCATGAAGGCACTGGATATTACTTCACATTATTGGCCAACTATGGGCCTAATTTGGACCAAATGCCTTGGGGATAGGAGGAAATTTATTTAAATCAGAAGATGGTAAGCATGCTTCAGAGCTTGGGCAAGTCAGACTTTCATCATAGTTAGAATGAAAGTTGAGACCCCTTAAAATATCTGTAAAAATATCTTAAATTATTTTAAAATATTTAATATCTTAAAAATATCTGTAAAAAATATCTGGTGAGAGTGAAATACCCACTCTCACACAAACTTCTTATTTCCCTACCACACCTATCTCTCAGCAAGTGTAATATTCACCCACTTAACCAGGGCAAAGAAACATTATTTTTGAGGACAGCCTGGTACTTGCTATTTAGTCCAGGCTGGCCTTGAACTCAGAAAGACCTGCCTGCCTTCTCCTGGGGTTAAGGATTAAAGCACCGCTAAGTATTACTTCTTGATTTTAAGTAAAAGGCACATATATGTCTAGTCTCAGCACTTAGAAGGCTGTGGCAGAAGGTTGTTACAATACTTGCAAGCTCCCCATTAGAACAGTGCCACACACTCAAAATGCTTTGTTAATAGAAGTCACACAGAGCCAGGCAGTGCATGTGGATGTGTTAGAAGCCAGCTTGGCCTGAGCATGTTCCAGCACAGCCAGGGCTACACAAAGTAACCCTGGGGGAGAGGGGGCTATATACAATGCCATTCCCTATTACCATTTTTATTTAGCTACAAAGAAGTTTACTATAAAAGAAAAAAAACCTACCCGTTTATATTTAAATTATTTTTCTATTTCCCATGTCATTATTTTTGTTTGGTTTTTTTTTTTTCCCTCCTGAGGCAGGGTTTCTCTGTAAACAGTCCTGGCTGCCCTGGAACTCACCGAGATCCTACTGCCTCTACTTCCCATTTCTAATGCAGAAAAATATACATATCCATATAGGAAGAACAGTCCTAAATTTAAATGTTGGTATTAAGTGAGTCAAATTATCAGTCCTACTGTTCACTCGTATCCTGAAGATAACTAAATTCATGAAATTTATAATGTCAATACATATGGTACTAGTGCACAAAAAGCAACACTCCATTTAAATGGCCAAGCCAGTTAGGCCACTATCTTCTTACCTCCACAGTAGGAAATGCATACTCACAGAATAAATATAAAAAAAAATTATGAACATGAACTAGAAGGGCTGCAATTAAGTGATCAGATTTGCACCACTCATCTTGGTGAGATGGAACCCAGAGAGACCCATCCCTGCTGACACCAGCCATTCTTACCAGTAATAGTCTACCAACACACAAGCAATCACAGTAGAACACTGCAGACAGCAGGGCATTGGAGGCTACTCAGCCCCAAGTTCCCAGAACAGGAACTGAGGCTGGGAAGAAGGTCGGTGCAGCGCACTCAGCGAATGGATAAACAAAATCATCATTTCACAAGGCTGCAAGCCCAGGCCCTAGTCAGATCTTAGCTATCTGGACTATTCTCAAATAATCACAAAGTTTCCATTTCCCTCTCTTAGAAGGATCTTCAATAGCTCAACAGAAAATAGGTGCTAGGGCCAGCAAAAATGCACTTGTGGCCAAGCCTGATCACCCGAGCTAGATAGATGCCCTCAGGGCCCACACTGGGGGAGAACAAACTCCCCAAAGTGTCCTGAGTTCCACATGTCCACACAAACTTAATAATTAAAAAGGGGGAAGAAAAAAAGGGGGGTACGTGTTGCCAATAGTCACTTTTGGAAAGTTAGATTATACAGAAAAAATTCTCAATTTAGGTATTACTAAGTTTGCCACAAGATGTCTGCCCTGTATGTAGTTCCCTTCTCACTGACTACAAATAAAAACTGCCTTCTCAAAAAACTGAGATATTGGGCTGGAGAGAGATGGCTCAGCCGTTAAAGGCTAGGCTCACAACCAAAAATATAAAAAACTGAGATATCCCAACACCCCAGAAACAGAAGCAGGTGGATCTCTTCAAGTATACGTAGTTCCAGGACAGCCAGGCTTGAAATAGAAACCCTTTCTTGACAAACAAAATTGAGATATCAAGATTGTTAACTACATTTTTGAACACCTGAAGGCATTCGGTTTCTACTTACGAAACTGTTCTCACTTAACTGCTCAAGCAATAGGTTGATAACACAATGTCCAAACAGCATACATATATACTTGGTTTTTCAAGACAGGGTTTCTCTGTATTGCTTTGGAGCCTGTCCTGTAACTCGCTCTGTAGACCAGGATGGCCTCGAACTCCACCTGCCTCTGCCTACAGAGTGCTGGGATTAAAGGTGGGCGCTACCAACGCCTGGCCAGTCAGTATGTGTGCCTGCTACTATTCTACTAGGCAGCCTATGCTGGCCTATATCCTGATCCTCCAGCTTAAACTTCCTGAGTAGTATGCTAGAGTTGCAGGTTTAGTCAGCCACATTCAGCAACAGCAAGACTTTATACACCCAATCAGCAATCCATTTCCAGGTGAATTGCAATTCTAACCCACAACAGTTTGAGTTCTGTAGTAAAACAACCTCAGCTTGCCCAAATCCAAATCTAGCTGATTACTAACAAAGATAGTAAACACAGCTGTAATGTTAAATAAAATGCAAATAACTTGAAGCCCACCCTTTATCACCCTTGATAAAGTTCCTTATAATATCTGGAAAAGGCCTCAAATGCTCAACAATCCAAGTTTAAAGTAGCCTGTTATTTCCTTTCTCAACCCATCAACCAGATTTAAATCCCTGCAATAAGCCAGCAACCTTCATCCCACCCATCATACCATTTTAGAAAACTGCTTTAACCTCATGATTTTCAACTAAGGGTAAATTTGCTCAGTACCAAAGGACATCTGACAATGTTTACAGACAGGAGAGGTAGCTACTACCATCTCCAGTGGAACTATTAGCAGTCTACTAAGGAAAAGACAGGCCCCAAAATGGGTTTGACAGAAAGCCTGACTTAAAATTAAGGCTCTATATTAAATGTCAGTCACTCACAAAATCTCAACAAGCACTTAGATCATAGTAAACCAAACCCAGAAAATCCCAAAAGCTGGCAGGCTACTTTCTGCAGCCAAAATCTGAATACAACATAACAGGCTGAAGTGTTCACAAATGGGACGGACACTAAGACACCATGTGCAAGTTGCTGATCCAGAACTAAGGCGTGGGCTGCTTGGAGAAGCCACACTTCCTGAGTCATATGACTACACTGCAAAACTCCACTCCACAAAACTGATATTTAGACTCCCTACAGTACTGATCAAAGTTCAAGGCTGTCTATACTAACAATCACAGTTAACAGGTATTTATAGAGAAACAATAGTGAATATTTTTTGTCACTAGGTCTCAGCACAGATGTCCTTTTTATTAAGTTCATGTAACCAACCCTCCAGTCAAATTATTATAGGCACTGAGGATTGGATCAGGGCATTGCTCATGTTAGACAAACAAGCTACCACTGCTACATCCCCAGCCTCTTAATAAGGAGAATCCCCAGTTTTAAGTGGCTGTAGAATGGTAAGGGTCATCATTTAGCTCTTGCAGGCACTAAAATAGGCTCAATTTTCAATCTCATTTCAATGCTTTCTTTTCTGGAGACAGGGTCTCTATACAGCCCCACCAGGCTGGTCTCTAGAGATCCTGTCTCTGCCTCCCAAATGCTGGGATTAAAAGACACGAGATGCCATACTCCTACAGTTTTCTTAGGAGACAATGTGTCACTATCTAGTCCAGGCGGGCCTTGAAGTGAGCCTATGGATTCAGAAAGCTGGGATTACAGGTATCCAACACCCCTCTCATTTAGAAAAAAAAAAAAAAAAAAAACCCTCAAACTTTTCAAAATCCATGGACAATACCGTTGTTGGAACAACCCAACTGGAGCTCCAGACTGGCATTTACTTACAAGATGAAAATTTATCTATTCAAAGATACTTTTTAAAAATCTAATTCAGCTCTTCTTAAAACGTAAGAGCTCCTAATGTATTTTTGGATTCCTTTTAAACTCGTTTGTTGGAAAAACTATATTGACGATTCTGCACAAAATTGTGACTCATAACCTTCTTGTGCAATGGAAAACCCAAGTTTAAAGGACCAATAAAAGTGGGATCTTTAATTGTCTACATAGTAATCTCCGTTTATTGCATCAGACCTCAAGATATTTGCAGCTCGGGGCTTACATCAACACACAGGATCTACTAAAAATTACAACTCCCACAAGGACATGAATAGCTTTAAGTTGCAAGAAACAAGCTACAGATTCTTGATGGAATTTTCCCACTTGCTTCAACGAAATGGCCGTTTTCTTAAAAAGGAGGGTAGGGGTGGCCAGCGAGCCTCCGACTCACTTCCCCAATTACAAAGGAGTCAAGTTTTAGGAGCCTTTAAATACTCTAAGGTCTCCGAGATTAACCGCACTCAAAATGACTGGCAGGGCGTCTGTCGGCCCCGCAGCAACAAGAACTAAAGAACCGGGGTCCCGCCTGCCAGGTTCTCCTTGGTCAGAGGACGAGGGTGCAGAGACCCCCACAGGAAAAGCATTTGTACAGGGCAGAAAGGAATGGGGTGGAGGGGGGGGGGGGCCCCTGGGCT